AAGGATGGTAAGAAAACCTGATACTATATCAGGAAAACCAGTACTTAATAGTAATTGTAGGGTGCAGGGAACAAGGGTTCCATCTAGTGAGGAATCTTGGTACTGCAACTGCAGGATGGTCAGCTAAAGTTTCATATGGATGGTGTGGCGTTAATTTTGCATAAACTTGATATCATGTACTTCACGTCAAATGGAGTAACGTCTAGTTTACGTAAAATACACGTACACTTTGGTGACGTAAATATAGGAACGTAAATTTTGCGTAAACGTGATGTCATTTTCGTAGAGATTCGCCCTCAGATTGCGGTCCTAGAGCTTAAGGGTCGAGGATTTTTTATCATCGCGGTTCATGTTCTCACTGAGGAGGCGAAAGGCTATGATTACGGTTCTAATATCGTCAGCGATTATTATAATGTGCGTTAGAAGATGAGAATGGAAGTAACACCATTTCTTATTATTGTTACCCTACCTTGAGTGGAATGAAAATTCAGAGACCGGGAAATGCAAGTTCGGTATGTTTTCACAACCGGGAGGGTTCCTCAAAACGTCTGCCTGTGTTATGTCCCGAGATGTATTCTGTTCGTCTAGGAAATCCGATATCTTGGGATGAAAATTCGACAAACCTCTGACTCACGTTTTGCTTCGGGCTCACTTTTCAAGAAATGAGGTGCTTTTGGCGACACTGACCCTGGTCTGCCAGATTTTCCTGCAAAGAGGGGAGTAACAGGTTTTAAATGTCAAAATTATCCCTGTTTCTGCAACTGCCTCCCACTATTTTCTTTGCATTTGCATCCATGCAAAATCATCCCACTGCACTTGAAATCAGGAATGCATCGATACACACCGGTCCTGCTTCCGTTTCACCACCTGAGACAGAGCACCAATCGGAATTTTCCCCCCCATAATATACTTTTCTTTATGGAAAAAGTCTCTTCTGGATAAGCCGAGGAACATCAGGCAAACTGCCTCTTCCCAAGGTGAAACGTGGGCGTGATCGGTCATGATATTGGCGCATCATTATTTGAAATGCGGCTGGAAAATGAACCAGTTTGGTCTGGAGATCCCAGCCTTTGTCATAGACTATACTGCTAAAAGTTTCCTGCATGTCTTCATTCAGTCTCAAATGAAATACGAAGATTGAGATATACAGTTTCACTTTATTCATTATATTTATGCCTATATTATACTACCAATAAAATTTCCTGCAAACTTTGTAATGTGCCTCTTCCGCATAGCCGCCAAGACTTGCAGTCAGAATGAAAATAAATATTTGCTGTTCTCATTTCACTGTTTCATTTCATTTCATACTGCCTTTTATTTTCATTTTCGCATTTGGTCATTCACGTCAAAGTCGTCTCTGGGATCGCCCCCTCCGAAATAGCGAAAACGAGTGCCCGTTTAGTCCATTCGTTGCAGTATAAACCTTTTTTTTCAATTTGAGACAAAAAAAAAACTTGGCTCGAGACGGTCTCAACCCCAACTGGAGACCAGTTGAGTTCCTGAAGATTTCCTTCATATGCAAGTCACTAAATGGTAGATCCAGTTCCTTCAGATCCAGTTCCTTCACGTCTTCCAGATCCCCTCATGCGATGCGTTCCCAGAAGAGTGATGACCTTTCACTAAAGGAAAATTGTCTACCAGAGTCCTGCATGTAGTGATTGGAACTGTGCATTATTAGTAATAAGAAGTTGACGGAAGTGTTTGCAGTGCTCCACCAGAAGGCGATAACTTCAGTGCGTGTGTAGTGTGCGTAACCGCGGGAACTTCATCGGAGTCCTCTGAAGATCTCAGAATTTTTTTTTATTCACGGGCCAATTCCAGGCCAGGGCATCGAGACCGAGTTTCTC